ATATCCCTGCAAAGTTTCAGCTTTCTACGTTGCCTGGTTCGCGAAATCGTTTCCCGCTAACATATTTCTTTGGGGGTCCCGTATGCGGGGTCTAGGTGCATATGGGGAAAGACCTTAAAACGGGAGGAAGACACACGGGGTAGAAACATGCATCCAAAGTTTCAGCCTCCCAGCTTTCCTGGTTGCTGAGATGAAAGTGGGTGACAAAATGCACTCGTTCCGAAGTTTCAGCCCCTCAGCTTTCCTGGTTGCCGAGTTGAAAGTGGGTGACAAAATGCACTCGGGTTTAGGTGCGTATGGGGGAAGATCTCAAAACGGGAGGATGACACACAGGGTAGGAACATATATCGGAAGTTTCAGCCCCCCAGCTTTCCTGGTAGCCGAGTTGAAAGTGGGTGACAAAATGCACTCGCATTGAAGTTTCAGCCTCCCAGCTTTCCTGGTTGCTGAGATGAAAGTGGGTGACAAAATGCACTCGCTTTCTTTCAGCCTCCCAGCTTTCCTGGTTGCTGAGATGAAAGTGGGTGAAAAAATGCACTCGCTTTCCGAGTACACACACAGACAGCCTCTCGACAATATGCGTTTTTGCTGGCTGCAGCAGCGTTATAACGCTGCACAGCAAGAAAGCATAAAAAGTCAAAACATAGTCAGCAATGGTGTACATGTTAAACTGTACAGCAGCAACCATTCAAAATGTTAATGACCTGACCAGTTCAAGTTTACACGCATGATCATACGGGAAATAGTGGCACGCGATGTTACCTGGGTCGCATTTATGCAAAAAAGCATATAGATTTTTACTTTTGGAAAAGCAAACAACAGTACTTCGTAAAAGGTTGACAGGGAGGAGAAAGCGTCCATATATCAGCATTGTAATCGTCATAATAATCCACGGTTAGCTTCTGCAAAAAAAGTTTGATAAGTATTATTTTAGATACTGCTTCTGGTTTGAACTGAAGACATTAAACTACATTGAATCTGGATACACAATTAGGCATGAAGCAAAGCAGGAAGAAAAGAACAGTCTGGTAAGTCTTTACTAAATCAAGGAATGTATTTTCTTCCACTATCATAGCATCGACTGTGGAAGCAACACTTTCCATTTTCGCTGTGTTATCATTTCTGCTTTATGGAAGTGAAACGTAGAATACCGATATTGCCCAAGAAGAAAAATTAGCGATGACCCCACGAGCCGTGTTATCAAATTGCAGAATTTTATTAATGCAGAACTACGTTTCGGTTTGATATGAGTGATTTTATCAAAACAAAACACACCAGAAAAAAAGTTGAGCTCTTCGTGTGGCAAGAAGCACAGACAACAAATGAGGCATACATACACTGATAAAAAACCCAGCGCAGGTTTTCAAATGTGGTGGAAGATCCCACCTGAATTCTCGTATAAAAAAAAAAGAAATGAAGAATTAAGAGAAATGAAGAAGTTGTCAGCTACACCAGGGGCAAGAAGGGATAAGACGATGAAACAAAAGTTGATCAAATCATCAAAGCAAATATCCGAAAAAAAAAATCTTTATTCGCGTTTATGAATAGCCTCACTGAGGATAAACGGAGTGTTTGCGCAACAGGTAGGGAAAAAATCCAGGCCACAACACACCAGGCTTGCCGCTGCGATTATGCGTTTTTGCGCAAAGGTTGCGGATCGCTAACAGCAGGAATGGTTTCTGCACCACAGTCTAACACTTTATCGGTTGTGTTTTGGCCCTTTTCTGATTGGAGAGGGAAACAGCGTTGGTCCGGGACAGAGGTTTTGCATTGTGGGGTCGCATGGATCTCCAGCGTAGATGATTATCAGCTTTTCGCATGAAGTCCGGTCGTTTTCCGGTGAATGCTTGTTCATCGAAAAAATGCAAACTAGAATTCGGGAAAGGATTATTAAATCTGCAAAATGCACTTGCTTTTGGGTTTGCAATGAAATTATGTATTTGTTATGTCTGCGTGCAGGAAGTTTCACTTCTGAGCCGAATTAAAAACAAACGTGAATATAGAATGCCCCTGCAAAGTTTCAGCCTCGCAGCCTGTCTGGTA